TCATAACGAAAAAATTAAAACATGTTTAAAATGGTAAATTTTATTAGAGAAATATAGATTTTGCAATTAAGCTCCGCCTCCAAGCTTACGACAAATAAAACAAAAATCATCACAATTAAGATAGGGCGGGTGGGCGGGGTTTATATTTTGCCGTTTTGAAATTGTATATTTAGTCATGTTTTTATCACCAAAAAGTTAAAACATGTTTAAAATGGTAAATTTTTGTATATTTAGTCATGTTTTTATCACCAAAAAGTTAAAACATGTTTAAAATGGTATATTTTTATAGAGAAATATTAATTTTGCAATTAAGCTCCGCCTCCAAGCTTACGACAAATAAAACAAAAATCATCACAATTAAGATAGGGCGGGTGGGCGGGGTTTATATTTTACCTTTTTGAAATTGTATATTTAGTCATGTTTTTATCACCTAAAAGTTAAAACATGTTTAAAATGGTATATTTTTATAGAGAAATATTAATTTTGCAATTAAGCTCCGCCTCCAAGCATCGAGAAATAAAAAATCAACACAACTGAGATAGGGCGGGTGGGTGGGGTTTACATTTTGCCTTTTTCAAATATATTTAGTCTTGTTTTCATAACGAAAAAATTAAAACATGTTTAAAATGGTAAATTTTATTAGAGAAATATAGATTTTGCAATTAAGCTCCGCCTCCAAGCTTACGACAAATAAAACAAAAATCATCACAATTAAGATAGGGCGGGTGGGCGGGGTTTATATTTTGCCGTTTTGAAATTGTATATTTAGTCATGTTTTTATCACCAAAAAGTTAAAACATGTTTAAAATGGTATATTTTTATAGAGAAATATTAATTTTGCAATTAAGCTCCGCCTCCAAGCACCGAGAAATAAAAAATCAACACAACTGAGATAGGGCGGGTGGGTGGGGTTTATATTTTGCCTTTTTCAAATATATTTAGTCTTGTTTTCATAACCAAAAAATTAAAACATGTTTAAAATGGTAAATTTTATTAGAGAAATATAGATTTTGCAATTAAGCTCCGCCTCCAAGCTTACGACAAATAAAACAAAAATCATCACAATTAAGATAGGGCGGGTGGGCGGGGTTTATATTTTGCCTTTTTGAAATTGTATATTCAGTCATGTTTTTATCACCAAAAAGTTAAAACATGTTTAAAATGGTAAATTTTTGTATATTTAGTCATGTTTTTATCACCAAAAAGTTAAAACATGTTTAAAATGGTATATTTTTATAGAGAAATATTAATTTTGCAATTAAGCTCCGCCTCCAAGCATCGAGAAATAAAAAATCAACACAACTGAGATAGGGCGGGTGGGTGGGGTTTATATTTTGCCTTTTTCAAATATATTTAGTCTTGTTTTCATAACGAAAAAGTTAAAACATGTTTAAAATGGTAAATTTTATTAGAGAAATATAGATTTTGCAATTAAGCTCCGCCTCCAAGCTTACGACAAATAAAACAAAAATCATCACAATTAAGATAGGGCGGGTGGGCGGGGTTTATATTTTGCCTTTTTGAAATTGTATATTCAGTCATGTTTTTATCACCAAAAAGTTAAAACATGTTTAAAATGGTAAATTTTTGTATATTTAGTCATGTTTTTATCACCAAAAAGTTAAAACATGTTTAAAATGGTATATTTTTATAGAGAAATATTAATTTTGCAATTAAGCTCCGCCTCCAAGCATCGAGAAATAAAAAATCAACACAACTGAGATAGGGCGGGTGGGCAGGGTTTATATTTTGTCTTTTTCAAATATATTTAGTCTTGTTTTCATAACGAAAAAGTTAAAACATGTTTAAAATGGTAAATTTTACTAGATAAATATAGATTTTGCAATTAAGCTCCGGCCCCAAGCTCACGACAAATAAAAAATCATCACAACTGAAATAGGGCGGGTGGGTGGTATTTATATTTTGCCTTTTTCAAATATATTTAGTCTTGTTTTCATAACCAAAAAATTAAAACATGTTTAAAATGGTAAATTTTAGTAGAGAAATATAGATTTTGCAATTAACCTCCACCTCCAAGCTTGCGACAAATAAAAAAAATCATCACAATTAAGATTGGGCGGGTGGGTGGGGCTTATATTTTGCCGTTTTATGTCCTTTCTTTTTGTATTTATTCTTATTTAAAATAATTTATTTTGCCATTTTAATCATAAAGAAAGTACTTTTGAATCGCCTACCGTACTGTGTAATATTAATAACACTGTAAAAATCAAGGCGAATTCATAAACCACTAGGACATTTGGACCCGATTACACCACTTCCTTAGTTTGGCTCGAGCATAGTACATACAGATGTGAGCGACATTCACAAAAAAATCCACAAAATGTACAAAAATTAAATAAACCATTTTCAAGTAGAATTTTTATAACACTTGTGGTTCTTCTCAGTAAAATAATAATTTAGCTGTCAATTGAAAGAAGGAAAAGAAATCTTTAAGCAGATTTTTTCATATACAGATTGATTGATTTAACGCGGATTCCTCGATACCTCATTAATATTATTAGAAATAGAAAAAAGTCACAGACCAAAATTGAACGATTTTTTGAGGACTATACTCTAAAATTGTTTTCAATTAATTATACGGAGTGTTCTGTTTTTACGGCGTAACAGAACTTAGTTTTTTTAAATTGAAGGGTTCACAAAAAATCACAGTGAGACTATTTTTAAAATCAACATTTTGTGGAGAAATAAACAAAGGTACGTGCTTTGTTGTGGTATAAATGAGATTAAATTTTCATATACAGAGTGTGTATAAAAATATTTTAACTATTACAATTTTCAAATATCGATTTTTCAGTTTTTTCTATATTTAAAGTTGATAGTAACTGCGATTTTTTACTTTTTTAATGAGGGTAAAACAATAGAGATACAGCAATAAAATACAGGATGTTCCATTTGAAAAAACTGAAATACTGATATTCGAAGATTGTAAAGTTTTAGAATTTTTTAAAAATACTCTTCATATTAAAATTTGATTTAGTTGATACCACAACAAGGTTTACTTATTCTTCCACATTATGTAAGAAAGACTTTAAAAATAATCATATTGCGATTTTTTTGTGAACCCTTCCATTGCAAAACATTTCAAGAAAATTGGAAAACGTGTCAACATCGTATCGGAATTTCAAAAATAAAAAAGTGAACTAAAATATGTAGAAATATATTGTTTCCTCAAACATTGGCCTGTAACTTATTTTCTTTGTAGTGACTCACCCTGTATATATGGTGAGTCACTAAGTGCGCGGACCCCGATATCTCATTAATTACAAGGGATACAAAAAAGTCAGAGACAACACCCATACGGTTCTTTGAGTACGACACAATAAAATTATTTTTGACTATACAGGGTGTTTTATTTTTGAGGTATAGCATACAACTTAGATTTTTTAAATAGAACGACCTACATATTTTTAGATATTCTCGTTAGTCTCTTTTTACGCATTACAATCGAAGTTTATTCTCATGCGACGTTGCCACACCACTCCAATTTTCCTAGATTTTTAGCGATTCACAAAAAAATCGCAATGTTATTTTTAAGACCTCTGTTGCAATATTTTATACAGAGATAAACAAAGGTATGCATTCTGTTGTAATGTCACTTTAACTAATTTTAATATACAGGGTGTTTATATAAAAATTCTAAAACGTTACAATTCTCAAATATAGATATTTCAGTTTTTTCAAGTAGAACAACCTATATTTTGTTACTGCATCTTACTCTATTTTTGTTATTGCAATCACGTGGTATCAAAATTTCAAAAATAAGAAGAGGTCGATCAGAGTATGTTAAAATATGTAGACAAATATTGCACAATTAAACGAATGTTGGAACGATAAGAACCTTTATTTTTATTTTTATCATAAATTTATAACACTTATGAATTTTATCAGATAGATTTTGAGACAGAAATACGATATTTGGAGATTAGAAGCTTAAATTTCGTAATTGTTTTTCGGTGTCAACGATAATTGGAGACGTTAATTTTGAAGTAAAAATATATTCAGAGATGAACAACACAAAAACAAATATGTTTGAAGTTAATGAGGGTAAAAAATGTAACTAAATACTGAAGTATGCTAAAAATAGAGCTCATATGTGTTTGATGTCTAGACAGGACAGGACAATTTTTTATTGTTGATTTTATAGTCACTTTACATCAAAGAATATTTTTTTCTTTTTTACCGATTTGTTTTTGTAGCAAACTGTGATATTTATTTTTTTGGTACCGAAAGAAAAATTAAAAAAAAATATAAAAATACAAGTGCTTACATACGAAATAAATGCACAAAATTTATCTGAGTAGGAGCCAACGAATTTTATTTTTGACAAAATTCTCAGAAATTAAACACAGTTAAAAGTACAGATTGACAGTTGATTGAAAGCTAGTTGGAATTTTGACATTAATTTGTCACAATGAAACTGAAAATCTTAAATTTTGTGTTTTTTTTTGCCTAAAAGGTTAACTTTTAATACACAAAAAGTTGCTAAGGTTGCGATGAACTTTACATGAGTTAAAATAAAACAATAAAAAACGAAAAATCTCGTACTTAAATTTAAAAAAATTGTTAATTTTTGTGTTAAAATTTTACACAATATCTGATTTTGTTGTGTTCGTTCCGTGTGAGCAGTTGTTTTGAATTTTTATCGAATGTTTTTTTTTGTAGATCTTTTCCGGTTTGTTAAAACAACTACATCACAAACTTGATGTTTTAATAACAATTCTATTATTGGTTTAAAGTAAATTGCGAAATGTTTGTGACACTACTTGTTATGATTTCCCATTACAGCGGAATCTTATCACAATCACCTCAAGAAACTCAATAATTTTAAATAAAATGTGTCATCGCCTTCTCACTTATCAATCAGATAACCGTCACCCGTCTCTGTTGACTTTAACACTCTACGGCTTAACCACAACCTTGAAAATAATCCTCAAACCGCCAAAAGACCACTCTCAACATCTCAAAAAATACAAACGTACTTGCGGTGGACGAAAAGGACGAATTCCTCACGTTGCTCCTCTTCCTGGTCGCCGTCATCGACAACCGCAACGTGTTCCTATAGAAACCGTTTTGCCTATAATCGTACCCAAATTCCTCGAACCGTCCTTGACGGTGACATTCCATTCCATTTTTATGGAAGCCGTTTCCGTCGTACCCATCGGGCTGCAGACTCACGGGCTCGCAGTTCTCCTTGATCGGAATCTGGAGGATCTGCGCGGCTTTCGGCGCCACCACCGGCGGCGGCGTGCTCACCACCTTCTCCTTTTTCTTGAACGGCAGCTTCACCTTCTGCTCCAGCCGCACCATCGGCGTCTTCAGGATGGTCTCCACCGGCTCCTTGACGAACACCTCGGGGATCAGCGAGTACTCGTAGTACGTGCGCTTGTAGTCCTGCAGGCTGGACATCGAGGGCGTTTTCTGCATGGGGGGCTCCTCGGCGCCCTTGTGGCTGAGCAGTCGCGCCCCTATGAATCGGAGGGACGCCCGCACCGACTTGGACCGCTTGAGGTGGTTGTTCTTCCGGCGTTCGGTTATTAGATCTGCCATTTTCGCGGTGACACTTTTTTTATTTTTCACTTTACCCATCACCGCGAAAACACACGTGAAAACGCTACGAAAGTCCGACACGCGTCCTGCATCTTTCACTGCGCATGGTTGACTGGATTTCAAATTACGAACAGCTGTCTGTACGTCTGTTATTACGATGAGCGTAAACCCAAGAAGGGGACTATTGTGTGAAATCATAGGCGCCGACTCTGTGAGTGCCCGGGGGCTCGAGCTTCCGACAAGAGTTAATACTCGCTTATTTAATGCTAACAGAGTAACGAATCTCATTTGCCTTGGGAAAAAGCAGGAAGCAGAGTTTCACGAAAATTATATGTACATACGATGGATAAACTGCTCGTGAAAGAAGTTTCAGCACTTCTAATAGACGAACAGTCGACGAAATTAATTGTCTTAAATGTGTTTTTTTGGAGAATCGTATTTCTTGATCGCTTATTTTTTTAACAGCACTTCCGAAAACTATTTGAAACAAGGCTAAATTTAATGCCATTGCTGATACTGCATAACAAAAAAAAACATTTATTTTTAATGAACGAATGAGTTAATTTTTTAATAATAATAATAACAATAGTAACAATAATAACTTTATTATTCCTACAACTAAAAACTAACAAAATTAGAGTTGCCAAAACTAAAGATGGGAAATTTTGAAATTATCATGAAAATTTGATTTAAAATCGAATATTTTGAAAATCAGCCGCCCTTTTGGCTATAGATAATTTTTCCTGATAGACGTGTCATACAGAAATACAATTTTTTCAACTCCAGTTGTTCCAGAGTAGCACTAGATACCTCCTTTAAGAAAAGTGTCCACGATTTTCGATTTTGCCCGTCAAAATTTATCTTCCAGAATTTCTTTTGGAGTTTCCTGTGGTTTTGTGAAACAGCTCATTTTTTTAATTTGAAATTTTTTGCCTTTCCACAAGGATCGTCGAAAATTACTAAAAACATTTCGTTTATTAATTTTGACTTCTAGTTTTCTATAGCCTCATTTTTTGGAAAAACCCTGCCATTTTTCGAGAATCGCCAAAACTAAACACGGAAAATTTTGAGATACCCTGAATATTTTATTTTTTGACTGATTCCAGCATAAACGCAAGTTTTTTAGGGCTTCATTTCTTCGGAAAGCCTGGCACTTTTCCCAGAGTCTCCAAAATTAAAGTTGGCAAATTTTGAGATATCTGGAAAATTTGATTTTTGATCAGAATACTCGTATTTCTATTCATTACTGGTATTTGAAATTTTTGACCATTCCTCAAACACTGTCGAAAATTTCCAAAAAAAATTCGTTCGTTAATTTCGACTTATAGAAGCTTTTTCGGATTAATTTCTTCGAAAAATTTTACAATTTTGTTCAGAGTCGCTGAAACTAAAGACGGCAAATTTTGAACTATCTTGGAAATTTGTTTTTGGACCCGAATCTTTTGAGAACCAGTTGCTGTACCGGATTTAGATATTTTTTTTCCTGATAGACGTATCATTCTTGTACCAACACATTTTTTTTTTCATAATTTTTCTCGATCCAGTTTTTCCGTAGCCTTGAATAGTTCTTTTAAGAAAAATGTTACGACTAGTCCAGGATTTTCGATTTTTGCTCCAGTTTTGCTCCGCTACCATCAACACGAGATATTTTTCACGAATTTTACACGGTTTTGGGAAAAAGCTCACTTTTCTAATACCCTAGAATTTGAATTTTTTTACCTTTCCACAAGCATCTTCAAAAATTCGCAAAAAAAAAAAAATTACCAAGAAAATTTCATTTGTTAATTTCGACTCCTAGAAGTTTTTTAGGGTTTCATTTCACCGAAAATCCTGCCACTTTTTCAGAATCGCCACTAACTAAAACAAATTTTGGGGTTGAAAATCTGATTTTGGACCCCAATATTTTGAAAATCGGTGGCCGTTTTGGCGTCTAATTATTTTTCCTGATACACCAACTATTCGTCCGCAAACAATTTTTTTTCATAATTTTTCGTCATCCAGGTTTCCAGTACTGGATAACTACTTGAAAAAAACTGTTAGGGTTAGCCCATGATATTTGATTTACCTCCCAGACTTTTTGTGGATTAGTTTTTCGAAAAAGCTCAATTTTTTTGATACTCAAAGTAGTAGTAATTGAAAATTTTGACCTTTCCACAAGCACCGTCGAAAATTACCAACAAAATTTCGTTTGTTAATTTCGACTTCTGGATGTTTTTAATGGCTGCATTTTTTTTCGAAAGGTCATTTTGACATATCTCGAAAATTTGATTTTGGATCCGGATATTTTGAAAACCAGTCGCCGTTTTGGCTTTGGATTATTTTTCCTGGTAGATGTATCATTCCTGTGCAGACATATTTTTTTTTCATACTTTGTGTCCATCCAGGTTTTCCGGAGTAGCACTGGATAGCTCCTGTAATAAAAGTGTTACGATTCTTCCAAAGTTTTGGATTTTGTCCTGAAATTTTGCTCCGGAACCATCAACACGATATATTTTTCGATTTAGCTCGTCCAAATTTATCGTCCAGGATTTTTTTGAATTTTCCTGCAGTTTTGCAAAAAGGCTCTTTTTAATACCCTAGTATTTGAAATTTTTGACTTTTCAACAAGCACTGTCGAAAATTACCAAAAAAATTTCGTTTGTTAATTTTGATTACTAGAAGTTTTTATCGCTTTATTTCTTCGAAAAACCCTCACTTTTTCAGAATCGTCACTATTAAATACAACAATTTTGAGATTTCTTGAAAATTTGATTTTTGGCTAGAATATTATGACTGGTCCAAGATTCCCAATTTGTTTTTCTGTAATTTTGTTCCGAAACCATAGATACGATATACTTTTTGATTTAGCTCGTCGAAATTTATTTCTCAGATGTTTCTGCAGTTTTGCGAAAAAGCTTATTTTTTATACCTTAGTACTATGTATTTGAAATTTTTGACTTTTCCACAAACACCGCCGAAAATTATCAAAAAAATTTCGTTTGTCAATTTTGACTTCTAGAAGTTTTTTAGGCCTTAATTTCTTCCAAAAATTGTGCCACATTTTCTAAGTAGCCAAAAATAAATATGACAAATTTTGACAAATCTTGAAAATTTGATTATTTTAGACCCAAATATTTTAAAAAACCAGTGGCCGTTTTGGTTTTCGTTTCTTTTTCCTAATAGACGCATTATTCCTGTGCAAACATTTTTTTTTTCTAATTTTTGTCCATCCCGGTTTCTCGGAGTAGCACTGGATAGCTCTTTCAAGAAGATTCTTCCAAAATTTTGGATTTTTTCCTGAAATTTTGCTCCGGAACCATCAACACGATATATTTTTCGATTTAGCTCGTCAAAACTTATCTTCCAGAGTTTTCTTGGATTTTTCTGCATTTTTCTGAAACAGTTCATCTTTTTAATAGCACAGTTTTTGAAATTTTTTACCCTTCGTCAAGCATCGTCAAAATTTACCAAACAAATTCTGTTTGTTAATTTCGATTTCTAGAAGTTTTTTAAGGCTTCATTTCTTCGAAAAACCCTGCCGCTTTTCAGAATCGTCCCTACTAAATGTAGCAAATTTGTAGCATTGTTTCGAAAAGTCATGCCATTTTTTTCGAAATCGCCAAAAACTAAAATTTGATTTTGGACACGGATATTTTGAAAATCAGTCGCCGTTTTAGCTTTGGGTTATTTTTCCTGATAGACATATCATTTCTGCGTAAATACATTTAATTTTCATAATTTTTCACTTTCCAGTTTTTCCGGAGTACTTAGTACTAAATAGCTCCTTCAAGAAAAGTGTTAGAATTAGTCTAGAATTTTTGACTTTTTTGTTCAATTTTGCTCCCGAAGTATCAAGCCAATGTTTTTTTGAATTTATCTCGTCGAAGTTTATCTCTCGGAATTTTTCAGGATTTTTCTGCAGTTTTCCGAAAAAGTTCGTTTTTCTTCAGTATTTGAAAATTTTGAACTTTCCACAAGCACCGTCGAAAATTACAAAAAAAATGGTTTGTTAATTTCGACATCTGGATTTTTTTATGATTGCATTCTTTCGTAAAGTCATGCCATTTTTCTCAAATTCGCCAAAAACTAAAATTTGATTTTGGACACGGATATTTTGAAAATCAGTCGCCGTTTTAGCTTTGGGTTATTTTTCCTGATAGACATATCATTTCTATGCAAATATATTTTATTTTTATAATTTTTCACTTTCCAGTTTTTCCGGAGTAGTACTAAATAGCTCCTTCAAGAAAAGTGTTAGAATTAGTGTAGAATTTTTGACTTCTTTGTTCAATTTTGCTCCCGAAGCATCAAGACAATGTCTTTCTCGATTTATCTCGTCGAAGTTTATCTCTCGGAATTTTTCAGGATTTTTCTGCAGTTTTCCGAAAAAGTTCGTTTTTCTTCAGTATTTGAAAATTTTGAACTTTCCACAAGCACCGTCGAAAATTACAAAAAAAATGGTTTGTTAATTTCGACATCTGGATTTTTTTATGATTGCATTCTTTCGTAAAGTCATGCCATTTTTCTCAAATTCGCCAAAAACTAAAATTTGATTTTGGACACGGATATTTTGAAAATCAGTCGCCGTTTTAGCTTTGGGTTATTTTTCCTGATAGACATATCATTTCTATGCAAATATATTTTATTTTTATAATTTTTCACTTTCCAGTTTTTCCGGAGTAGTACTAAATAGCTCCTTCAAGAAAAGTGTTAGAATTAGTGTAGAATTTTTGACTTCTTTGTTCAATTTTGCTCCCGAAGCATCAAGACAATGTCTTTCTCGATTTATCTCGTCGAAGTTTATCTCTCGGAATTTTTCAGGATTTTTCTGAAGTTTTCCGAAAAAGTTCGTTTTTCTTCAGTATTTGAAAATTTTGACCTTTCCACAAGCACCGTCGAAAATTACAAAAAAAAAACTGGTTTGTTAATTACGACTTCTGGATTTTTTCATGACTGCATTCTTTCGAAAAGTCATGTCATTTTTTTCAAAATCGCCAAAAACTAAAATTTGATTTTGGACACGGATATTTTGAAAATCAGTCGCCGTTTTAGCTTTGGGTTATTTTTCCTGACAGACATATCATTTCTGCGTAAATAAATATATATATATATATAAAAAAATAAAACATTTTATTTTCATAATTTTTCACTTTCCAGTTTTTCCGGAGTAGTACTAAATAGCTCCTTCAAGAAAAGTGTTAGGATTAGTCCAGAATTTTTGACTTTTTTGTTCAATTTTGCTCCCAACGTATCAAGACAATATGTTTTTCAATTTAGCTCGTCGTAGTCTATCTCAGAATTTTTCAAAATTTTTCTGGAGTTTT